GTCAGAAACAGTGTGGCCCTGCTATGACCGTAACATTAGATGTGTTTTTTTGTGTCACTACCGAAGCTTTTGGCTTGTTGGAAAGCCTGGACACGCAGCCTAGGTATGTACCAACAAGTTGGGAACAAATTCCATTGTAATAACCTCTGGGAAGAACATTGCACCATTGATTGTACAAAGAAAATGCATTTATTTTTTTATGCGGAGTTAGTGTACGTGCGGTATAAGGAAAGTTTCTACATGTTTAACAGATGGGTGATGTGTTAAACGGCACTGCAGGTTATTTAGTGTGTACATAAGCAATACTCAGGGACTCTCAAAACAGTTTTTACCCACTGGATTACGATAATGAAAAGTACATTTACTCACATCCAGGCAAAAGAGACTTTGGTAATTTGCCTGTTAAGACTGTGAACTTAACCACTCGTCATGTTGTGGGAACCGCTGGCCACTTGTGTTGATCACTAAACGGTGATTTTAATCAGTGCCTCTAAGTTTGAGTGCTTTTGTCACTTACACTATGCGTGAAGTCTGTAATCACGACTCTGGAGCAATAATTATCTTGCACATGGGTGCCTTGTTAAATGTTGAAGCTGCAATGCAGATCAACCGATCTTTACACAATTATTTTATCGCATATTGTATTCGAATACTTTGCAGCTTACAATGTTCTAAATGGCACATCTTTTTCAGGTGGCATTGTATATTTGTACACGTGTGAAACATGGATTTATGCACAAGATCTGCCGACAGGTGATGGAAGGCAGCGCATTGTCTTCACAATTTTCCTTTTGGATTGGCTTTTGAATCGGTAGAACATTTTGCTTTGTGTATGTAAATTCTATACCCTCTGGCTTAATTACCGTTACATGTATATAATTTTCTTCACACAATCTCGTTTCAAGTCTTGTTTCCGTAGTTTATTGTTTCACTATTCATGTCACCATGTATCATGCCTAGTTTGCAAGCTTTTCATACATATACAACACTTTCATGGAAATGCAAAAGACTGACCATTGAAAAACGTTCAGGAAAAACGCCAGCTATGGATACAAGTTGCAAAAAATGTCACTTATTTCTGACACAATAAATTTAATTTCTTCCCTCCCCCTTTTATTAAAAGTCACTGAATTATTCTACTGCAAAATAAATTGAAATGTAAGCGTGCACCGGGATTGTATGGAAGTCGAACGTCCACGGACTTTCTGCTATTGTTATTTTTATAATGACAGTGAATACATCACAAAATACTGGCATCTGCATTCCATGCTCACTCCTCTGTCCACACAGAAGCAGCATACATTTTGGAACCCAACAGTTGATCGATTAACATATTTCATGCGGTCAGGTTAAGTGTGGGTCCTCCCACCTCTTCGAAGATGGCTGGCTATGTGCGTATGCATGTTTAACTTCTTTCGCACCGTACGTAGCCAACCACGCGAATCGGAGGTGCGGGGGCTGGGGTGGAGACGAATAGGCTTCAAATACCCTCCAGGGAGGGTGCTTTCTTGACATCCTTCTGCCAACAGTAGCGTGAGAAAGCCAAATCGCAAGGCTGCTTGTTTTACATTGCTTTACATTCAAGATGCCGGTTATAATTGTAATGGCTGGCTTCTCGAGCCAAGGCTTTATCAGGGGGGGGGGGGGGGAATAGCACGGAGTGGGCCAACACTACATCTCAAATCGGCATGCTTTACCAAGAGGAGGCTCTGTCTCATCGGTGGTGGTGATAACAGAAATCGTCGAAAGGGCCAATGGACCTCATAGCCAGGGCCAGAAAAGGGCTCTGCCAAACAAGACGAAAGGGATTTCTGGTTGTGCGTTCGCAGTGCTGGGCTCGCCAATTTTTAGCACACACCCGCCAGTGTCGTCAGGCGGTGATATTTTAACTTAAGGTGGTTTAGCCACTATCAAACCTTCGTGTTAAACGGTGACAGAAAGTGAGCATGGTCTGGACTTACACAAGTAATAACAATCGCGTGGCATTTCCACAAAGACTTTTCACTGGTATATGGCGACGCTAAAATGTGGTTTGTGTGTGTTTCGCTTGTCAACTTTCTGAAACAATGGGTGTTCATTTGTAGACCCAAAATGAAATGCACATTTTTTTTTCTTCGGGAAAAAACTGCCGCATTGTGCTGCTGGGAAAACATTTTAATAATGGGGAAAAAAAGTTACAATAAACTGGATTTTAAATAATGCAAACAGTCGTCAAATCATTATTGTGTGCGATTGTTGCTGCGACCCAGATAAAGTGTTAGTGGCTGGGTCGGTTGACGGCACTGTGATGATGCGTGAGACACTCAGGAGCGGAATGGTGCCTCCAGCAGGCGGTGAATCAAGTAAGTCTCATTTTTAAATCATTTATATTAAGTTCGCTTGCTTGCTTACGACCGTGCATATCTTTCGGTCGTTTTTTAACCCACTTCCCGTGATCCAATCGAGCTGACATTTTCCACACAGACTCGTGCGTGACAATGTTCGTGAACATTTTTTCCAAAATTTTACACTTTTTAGGACAAATATTTAATTACCAATTGCTTAATGGTGCAATGCAATCATCTGACCCATAGGTGGCAGCCATCTCAAGCCAGAGGACGAGAGGACTCTAGCCGCCACGCATATAAAGGATTTATAGTGAAAAACTTTGTTTTTACGGGTTATACTTGTTTTATCTGCAGCATGAGGCCACTCCAGTTTTACGGTTCTGGGTCTAAACAAGTTTCTCTCCAATTTTCACAATGAGTAAAATATATCTTCAGGGGATGAATCCGATATCTCTAACTTGCGTATATGCGCCGATAAATGTGTTGCATAATGCATTTAAATGTACATCATTTAAAATACATTACATACATTAACATGATTGCACAGAATTAAAAGTGCATTATTTATTGCAAAATGCTATGCCACATTTAAAATACAATACAGCAAACCCTTGCCCATCGCGGGGGATTATGTTTTTTTAAATAACCGCAGTGGGCAAATCTATGATCCGCAAACTCAAAGGCAGACCCTGCCTTTGACCTTTAACCCAGTTACGCCCCTCTTCGAGTTGGTCATTACTGGTAGGAACCTCCTGGTTACACCAGCCCACAGGGGATTATTGTGTCCGTCCGTCGTGCAGGGAGGGGCTGGGTGGGGAGGGAGGGGCTGTGTGGGGAGGGGCTGGTCACCCCGTGGTGCCCTTATAAAACTCAACGTTTAACCTACTCACGCCGGCTTGTGCCCGCCCTCACAGTCGGGCATTTTTGCAGAATACACCACGCCGCCGTTGACCCTGGCAATTGACCGAGCACCCATACTCGTGACTACCCCTCCTGGTCAACGGATGGCACCCTGTCATTACACACGGATGGTTAAAACGACACCCCTTTTGTTTCACCCTACATCAACCCAAATATTAAACGGTATTTTGTAACATATTGACGTGTTAAATATAACTTGTGTGAATGACCAGAATGAGAACAATGGAGTTTACAATGCTGTCTGCGTATCCGTGTACAGTACTACCCGGGTAGAAAATGTGTGCGGCTAGACCTCACTACTGCCTTCTCACTCGAGGCTGGGAACACCACTTGGCCTGGAACCCGCAATGGGCCGCTTGGGAGACAAGATGGATAGAAGATGGCGTTTTTGTTCTTCTGCAGCAGCAGCAGCATCAGTGCGAGCAGTACAGTTGTGATGCGTGTAGGAATCTCGCGGTCAACCGCGAATGGTGCGATCGGTGAACTGTACCTCAGTAAATTTGGCGTAAACCGCAAAAGCTGAACCCGCGAGAGGCAAGGGTTTGCTGTAAACATTAAATAGTGCACAGAATGTAACAAGATATATACATTTCGATTTAAAGCTTTCGTGACTGCAGGGATTCATCTTCTTGGTTCTTTCGGTAAAGTCACGTAGAAGGAAAGTAATAAAATAATAAAAATAAAACATAATAAAATAATTCTCACGACGTTTCGGCCACAACGCAAGCAGCCGTCCTCTATCGAGGCGACAGCGTCTGAAAAACTCTGGCCGAAACGTCGTGAGAATTATTTTATTATGTTTTATTTTTATTATTTTATTACTTTCCTTCTACGTGACTTTACCGAAAGAACCAAGAAGAAGATATATACATTTGAGTTAGTCTCATTCCGACAGAGACTCAAAATAGTTTATTTGGCCTACCCAAGGCAGAAATTGCTGCCCTGGAAGTGGGCCAGGTCACTTTGAAGGGATCTCAGAGGTAGCTCTTTCATATCCACTTCTTTGGAGCATTCTCGAACACGAAGGGTTGCACTACTGTGCAAGAGATCCGGTTGGATATATTTTCATTTAAAACAATGCTCATAGCACAGTTAGGGTAACATTGGGGAAATGTGAAAAGTTATCTTATTAAATCAATTTCAAACATGAGCCAGGCATCATGGACACAGCATAGGTTAGCTATCTCAAAGATTCGAGACCTCAATCAAACATGGGAACAATGGGGAAAACCCATTATAACAGAAACAGTGCAGGCCGGAAAACAAATAGATTTAACCACACACTGAGATATGCACTGCATGTTCAAAAGCTCTGGATAAGGCTCAGAGGTATTGTACATGCAATCTTTTGTCTATTGAAAAAGATTAGAGCGGTCTGTATTTTGGGATGTGTCCTGCCATTAACAGAAATGTGCAGCACGTAATCCGCCGGCAAACATATGGTGTTGAGGATTGCACGTATTTATTTCGATACGTGTACATAATTTTAAACGAGCTCTTTGGATACTTATTTGGAGAACGTGCACGCAAGCACAAGCTTCACAATTCTGTGGGTTCAAGCGCGCAATCCTCACGACTGCGTCCGGTGATTTCTTGATCAAAGAAATACGCTTGCTGGAACAAGTCTAGTTGCGCCGTGTTAACGGGCGAGTGACCGTAGATTAAATGCCTCTCCTCCTCCTCCTGGCTGGAGAATCGGTGGGTGCTCTTCGCAGCTGAAACACAACAAGCTTCAGAATCAGTTTGGTGGCGTACAACTCCCCCGTGGGCCATTTCCATGGGGTCACGACGACAGGTCGCCTTCTGAGCCCCGGGGGAGTGAAGGCAATGGCAGGGGCTTGTTGGGGCTGGTTGAGGGGTCATTTGTGACCGCAGCCAATGCTGGCGCTACGTTTCACAAGGAATCCAATGGACGTGCCTAAGGACCTAAGCCAATTATTGTTTGTGAACTGAGTAAATACTTTGCAATTTTAGTTTTAAGCGTAACGATGCTAACCCACAGCATGCGAGTGTTGATGTTTTATTACAACGCGTCGTTTAGGCAACTATAACATGGGCGTTAAAGATAATGTGATTCAAAAGTACGAGAGAGCCATGCGAATAGCCGTGTGTGTGTGTAGTATACACATAAACACACGTACACAATGGTGATCTGCAATGGGCTTTGTTAACTTATTGGTTTTAGTGCCACACTTCAAACAATAAGTGATTTAAAAGTAGATTTCACACATTTAAAGACCGTTCTTACGCATTTGAAGTCGGTCATCATTTTTGGGAGCCTAAAAAAATAATTATGTTTTTGGATGTGTATTAGTTAACAACGCTTTCTAGAACATCATACAAAAATTACATCAGTCAGTTATGATCATCTTTGTAAATTGGTACATCTATATGCAATGCCAATGCAATGTGACACTCGCTCTGCAAAGCTTTGTCCAAGGTCCAGAGTGGAATTTGGTCCTACCTCAAGGGCCAAAACATCGGTGACACGGATGTATTTAGTTGTCCAATGAAACCGAATTTCACGATAACCTACTTATATTTATTGCTCGCATAATTCACCGTTATTAGACATATAAAGAAATTGCGTTTTTGCAATTCACCCGGCACCAGCGAGTGAAACATTTACTCCAAGTGAAACGCCTTTCCCTTCTGTCCACGTGTGGTGGTTCACCCTCGCTAACGAGGAAAGCAGCCATGTGGAAGGCAGCTCTGATGGCCCCGTCACTGTGAACCAGAGCTCGCTGGTTGGCCCACTCGTACGGGTTCATCTCCGGGTGCCATTGCAGTGCGTAGACAGGGTAGTGGTAGGCTTGTGGGAGAGACAGATGAAGTAATCGCTGCAAGGCCTACTATGAGGTGGACGGGTGCCCCGGAGGTCGGAGTGCTGAGCTGGCACGCCAGCACTGACACCCTCCGTTCATAATTAAGCTAGAATTAAACTGGCGTTCTCAATTATCGTCAGTTGATAGTCTCGGCCCATGAAAAAACATATCCTGAAAATGTGGTGATGTGCTTCATTTAGCTTATTTCCGGCTCCGAGATTTTAAAAATATCTGTTTGACTGTCATGCGATGAAAATTCTTCTCATATTCTCGAGCGGTTGGGAAATTGGCGCTCGCCAGTGTGTGGAGCAGATGTCATTTGAAGGGATTTCATTCGGTTCTCACCTGGCTACACACATATATAGGCACGGTAAACATCATCTATACATGTGTTTATCATCGTCCAAACAAATGAAGTTCTGCACCGAAGTACATGCCGTGTTGGGTTGTAAAAACAACATTCGTGACTCTTACCTTCCATCGTGGAGATAAACTCCACCCCACTGGAGTCGGTGTTTGTAGTCAAAACGCGATAGAAATTTCTCAGCTTCTCATTTGCAGAAAAGTTCTTTCACATTGTAACAAGAAATAAATAAATTGTAGGCAGCTCGGATGAAGTATAAACGGCATGAATGGCCTCATGAGCAATTGATTTCATGATTTTATTTTTCAACAAAGGCCTAGTAGGCATTTACATTCACCAGAGATGACCAGACCCAGACCACGGATCAGGAACCACATGCAGCTCCCAGTCGGTTCAAGTGTGGCTTGATAGATGCAGCTAATGTGTAACTTTTCAGTTCAACATTTCTACTTGAATAGGAAAGATCTGCAGAAGCACACACACCCCTTGCAGCGGAACCAGACGTGAGGACTCCTGGTGCGCTACCGCAGATTTCTAAAATTCTAAACTCCACTGTTGGAGAATGCACCCGTGCAATGCGTGGTGTCTCGTGGCTGTTAGCCACGTGAAGATGTTGGTACGTGACTGATAGTGCCGCAAGTTTAGCCACCCCTGATATGTACACTGCTGTGATTGCATTAATATTGTTCCTGAAAAAATTATCACCAATGTGGAAAATACATGTCACTTGTACGTAGAATAGGAGGTCATAGCAACAATCAAGGGAAGCGCAAAGGACATTGGGCAGCAAGGTGTCACAGTGGTAATACATGCGCCTCACAGCGAGGATTTCCTGGGTTCGATTCCTGACCCGTGCGCCTTTATGATGGAGTTTGCACGTTCTCCCTCTGTTCTGCATGGGTTTTCTCCGGGTTCTCTGGTTTTCCTCCCATTTTATATTACAAAAACTAAAACAGGTGTTGTCTAACAACCCAATGCTCAATACTTACCAGAAAATTACTCTATTGGGATTACACACAGCCACAGCGCCCACCTTACTGCGCAAAACGTGGCAGGACCCTCCTGAAAAATAGTCTTGAGACTCGGCAAGGCTTTCCTGGGTAAACAAGCGTAAGACTACTCATAATACATTATTTAAACAAACCACTTACATGTCCGTACAGGCTATAATAGATGACAAGCTGTGTAACCTCACCTTGAGTGAGAGGCTCCAGTTGTGCATGTTGCCCGTCATGGACTCAGAAGCCAAGGTGTCCAGAACGCCTTTGGGGAAATTCCGGAAAAGCTTGCTTTGTTTGGATTCTGCAAAATGAAGCGAGACGTGGGCGACACGCACACCGCATTGATAGAGTTAACACATTCCTGCGGAGGGAGCTGGTAGCAACGTTGGGTTGCTCGGTCAATGGCCAGGGTCAACGGCGGCGTGGTGTATTCTGCAAATATGCCCGACTGTGAGGGCGGGCACAAGCCATCGTGAGTAGGTTAAACGTTGAGTTTTATAAGGGCACCACGGGGTGACCAGCCCCTCCCCGCCCAGCCCCTCCCCACCCTCCCCTTCCCACCCTCCTCACCCAGCCCATCCCCACCCTCCCCACCCAGCCCCTCCCCACTCAGCCCCACCCTCCCCACCCAGCCACTCCCTCCCCACCCAGCCCCTCCCTGCACGACGGACACAATCATCCCCTGTGGGCTGGTGTAACCAGGAGGTTCCTACCAGTATACGTGATGCCATTGTCATCATCTGATGCAATGTATCCTATATAATTGCTATACAATTTAGTTCATTCAGGGAACCTCACCGAGTCTCGAGACTTTCTCAGGAGGGGCACCACATCGCGCGTTTTCAGATGCGCTTCTGAGGCCGTCTGGAATGTTCTTCCGATATTCGGAAGCCATTGGACGGCTATGCACTATTCCATCTCGATTGAAAACTAATTTCTTTAGAACTGCTTCTTCTGTTCACTTTGTTGTGCTTCGGCCGCACCCCCGATTGGCACGGTTGGCTACGTACAGTGTGAAAGAAGGTCAACATGCATACATTTATAGACCACCTCCTCCTCGTAAACCCTCCTCAACCTGCCCCGGTGCTACCGCGACGGTCGTATGTTTATCCAATAACGCCCGGACTACAGAGTGCTGTATCAAAAAACATTGTAATGGAAGGGTATCTATGAATGGATTAGCCTGGGTCTATATCAATTGATTGACTGCATTTGTTTACGTGGGTAAGAAACATCCAGCCCTAAGCTGATTTACAAGGACGACCTCCCCCCACGGAGGACCTGGGTGAAGGAATCCACAGCAGCGAATCAATCCTAAACAATGCAGACACCTGTAGGGGCGAACGCATTCGAGGAAAATAACATTGAGGGTCATGCACGACTCAAGTAACACCGGCAGGTTACGCAGAGGTAAAACACGCAACTGGCGCGGGGTTTCGCTAAACCACACGCGCAGGAAAAGGATTCCTCAAACAGAAGGATTGTTTAGTTTAAATGCCCAGTATTGAGGCTTTGGTAGATTTATGCCGTGCCCTTGGTGAGGTTGAGGGGCAGCGCCACGTCCTGGGTGCACGTGATCCTGAGAAGGTTCTCCCCGCAACGAAGTAGGCCAACTCAAGTTCAAGTTCATTTCAAGTTCATTGATTAGGTATAGCCCTGTGAGCCATTCAGCTCTTGAATCGGGTGCAACCGCAACAAACAAAAAACAAAAACATGAACAAAAAACATCTTAAAGTGAATATGTGACTAAGTGCAAACAGAAAATCCAAGAAAAGACAGCAAAAATATTGCAGAAAAAACACCGTACACCAACGCTGTGTGCAAAAATCTCAGTGGGATGCAAGTCAAACAACAACAACAACCACGGGAAGTAGTCGCCGCACTCGTTCGCCTGTGAGCGCAGCAGCAGAATCAGCAGCAGCAGCAGGAGCAGCAGCAGGAGTAGCAGCAGCAGCAGCAAAGAGTATCAGCAGCAGAAGCAACAGCAGGAGCCCTTGGGATCTCTCGCAGAGCAGCGCAAACCCTTCATCGTTCGAAAAGTGCCCGTGGAAGTGGCTATTACAGAGCAACCTCTGAGATGGCTCCAGGTTGACCTGGCCCCACCCAGGGCAAAAATGTCTCACCCATTCTGCCATACAAGAGTAATCAAATTTGTCATGTGATAATCAACAGTGTTATTGAATATACGTGTTTTTTCTGGAGTTTTTTTTAATCCACACAGTACTTTCCACTCGCTCTGCATATGAGAATGAGGTTCGTTGCACAATTATTTCACTAAATTAAGTTGTACAAACCCATATTTAATGCGATGCTTTTTGTATGCAATCATAAATCAACCCCACTACACTTGAGAACTCAGTTTAACCATCGGCGGCCGCCTGGATTTGCGAGCTGTGAGCTCTTAGCCACCCGGCCACCTCCGAATTTAATTGAAACTGTAATAAAAGCAAGCGACACGCATTTCATCAAACCAGTCTTCGCTTGCAAATTATGTATGGCTCCCCAAACACCAGTGTTGCTACATCTCCCTGTGGACCATTTCCAAAAATTTCAGAAGTCACCAAACATAAATTTTGATTTAAAGCTTTCTTGCTGTGGATTTCACCAAACATAATAGTAAAATATTTATTAAATGTCTATTGGTAAAAAAAAATATTTGCAGGCCATGAAGGGATCGTTTTCGAGGTCAAAACTGGAACATTTATTTCCCACTTAAAAATCCGACCCCGTCACTCCAAAATCATATGCGCTCATACCTGCATGACGAGGTCGAACAGTATTTTGGCAGCTTTGGCATAAGCAGAAGTCACCAAGTCCACATCTCCGCCGAGGATAAAAAGGCTACGTATAATGTAGAGTACACCGTCAACGTTTAGTTACACTCCGCAGGTAAAATTGCTGTATATATTTACGTATTAATTAAGACCCACACCACAAATGTCAAATTCCATGCAGGTCAAACCAACTCCTTCCTCCTCGTGAATTGGTAATATTCACTCACCCATTTATTGAGTAAAAGACGTCCGTGTATTCACTCTTGCTCAAACCCACCCTGGGAAATTATGGAACGGAGAACAACGCGTTACAGTACTTCCAGACAGCCGATGGTCCATAATAGAGTCAACTGATTAATTACTATTGGGAATTAAGGGACTGTGTTAAGCCATCTGCTGCCGGTAAAACATATGGTTTTGCCGGCAGCAGATGGTTTGCTATATCACCATGTTATTTGGCTAGGTTCTTTGATGAACGTGCTGGCAGTCCACCGGGGACGCGTTGGAATTGCGCCATGAATATTGGCGTTCAGGGATGTAAGCTAAGTGAGTTCACCTGATGGGAACTACCCTGGAACCGCTGGACTCCAAGAACTTGACGCACCATGCGGCGATGTAGCTCGGACCCAGCGCACTCAGCCCGGTCACAGTCTCCTGGCACAAAACCCCTACGCAGGAACCATGTTACGATAAAAAAAAAATTTCAAAAACAACCTTCATCTGCTCCGACACTTGAATGACCACCGACAACAACGAGGCGACTCGGGTAAACGCGCAGCGGGGATCGTGCAAATCATCTTACCGATGATGGGCCTGTGATTCTTCTGCTGCGTGCAGGCGCGAGAACTTTGTGTGAAAGAGCAAGAGATCAAGAGAGGAAGCGCAAACATGCACACAAAACGCGACGCCTTGAAAGCTGCCATTCGCCCTCAAACACTCCGCCGATCCACGCTGAGCAGGTACAAAATAACTGTAGGTACAGTTATTTTGCTGTACCTTTTTACACCTGATGAAGGAAGCTTGTGTTGCCTCCGAAACGTCGTGATTTCATTGATTTATTTTCATTTATTATTATTTTATTTTTATTATTATTTTACCTACGTGACGTTACCGAAAAAACCTAAGAGTATAACATACACATACTTGATTTAAAGCTTTCGTGACTGCAGGAATTCATATTCTTTGGGTCTTTCGGTAAAGCCACGTAGATAGAAAAATAATACAATTATCACGACGTTTCGATCGCAAAAAAGAAAGCGAGAGAGCTGCCGAGGAAGGAGAAAATACGTTCTCCTGCCTCGGCAACTCTCTCGCTATATTTTGTCACCTGATGACGATTGCTTGTGTTGTGATTGAAACGTCGTGATAATTTTATTATTTTTCTATCTACGTGGCTTTATCGAAAGACCCAAAGAATATAATATAGACACGAACAATATTTAGACGTCAGATCGTTTTGACGCATGCAAACAAAGATAGTTTTCATTTGCTGCTCTTGATTACCGTGACTGTTATTTTCGTCGAGAGCCAGTCACTTTTGAGTGTCAGAATGGAGCCACTCGATTCTCACGGGAGTTAATAACAGAGGCTGTCCCCGCCACGGCGTGTGTGTTCCGATTGCATAATAAGCAGGTCAACTTTAGAATGTAGAACATTGGACACCGCGAAGACGACGCGCTATGAGCCTATGACCCACTCTTCCGAATGAAGACGTCACTGTATTTTTTACGTCCGTTTGCGAATCGGACGGGGCGAGTGCCTGATGTAGCTAGTGCGGGGCCTGTAGCATATGTGAAAAAGGGGCCCTAAACAAAATAAAAACACGTAAATATTAAAACACAATTTTTGTTACTTGCATAGTCAATGGTATTTTTTAATTTGCTATACAGCCAGATAATACGACAAATCGCTAACCTTAAACACTCAGTCGTTCATAAAAGTTGAAGGCGGTATAGTACTATAGCAATAGAGCAAGTGCAGAATCACTGAACCGGAATTGATAGCTTGAAAGCATTTAGTGCGGGGCCCTTGAAAGTGCGGGGCCCGTAGCATATGCAGCTACTTGTGCTACTACGATAATCCGGCACTGATAAGCAGGTCAATTTTCGAATGTGGAAAATTTGAAACGCGAAGTCGACGCGCAATGACCCACTCTTCCGAATGAAGACGTCACGGCATCTTTAACGTCCAATGCGAATCGGACGGGGCACAGTTCGTATCTGTAAAACACCTGCCAGCATTAACGAGGGCGACCTGCTGAACTCCAACGGGTGAAACTCTGCAACAAGCAGCAAACGCGTTACCGTTCAGCCATCGTCGCAACCCCTGAAATCGGGTGCCTGTTGTGGTGTGCACTTTAAGAGGATGGGGCTTGGTGGATCAAGCGCCATGGCGTGGTCACTGCTGCTTAGCAGAATGGGAGTTAGTGGATCATCAGTAACTGCAACATCAATAGAAATGCATGGGACCTTTCTTGCCAGTATCAAAAATTATGAAAAACAAGAATAGGTGTTACCCTTTCTGGCAATAACACAGGTGATACAATGTTCAAACACCTTTTGCAAGGCATCAAGTCTGCATTAACCACACCTACTTGTGGCAAAACATGCAAACATCCTCTAATAATGTGTGCATTGTCCTTGAAACTGATTGGCCTACACCAGAGGCAGCCTTCTTTGTGGCTTTGCCTCACCAGTGTTCGACCAGAGAACGTCAAAAGGCGAACAGGACAAAGACAATGCACTATCAGAACACTTAATTATGGCTCGGCTCGAGCAGTTATATCTATGTTCTATTGCCTGAAAGGGTAAAACCTATTATTTTGTAACAGCAATGTTTTTTTATTTAATCCAGAGAGGCCACGCTAAGTCGTAGGAATCTTTATCAGGGCGGGGTACTGCATTGAGTTTTTATTTTAAGATGCTTTTTGCCAATTAATGGCGAGTGTTTATACAGGAGGAAACCGGAGCGCCTGGAGAAAACCCGCACGTGCGAGGGGGCAACACTCTATCCCCGTATGGATTGGAAACAGATGCGGAATAATCCACTTGGTGTGTTACCTTCTCCTGGCGAGCCAGGGTACGGCACCTCGGTGGTCACGGCAAGGAGATTTCACGTTTTCGTGCAATTCGCCAAACCTCGCTGAATGAAAGTATTCAAAAATAGGAATAGATTTCATCCTTCCTGGCAATAAAACAGGTCTTAAGAGTCATCTTCTTGGTTCTTTCGGTAAAGTCACGTAGAAGGGAAATAATAAAATAAAAATAAAACATAATAAAATAATTCTCACGACGTTTCGCTGTCTTTCCGACAGACCTGTTCTTCACCTCAGGACGGCTGCTTGCGTTGTGGCCGAAACGTCGTGAGAATTATTTTATTGTTTTATTTGTATTATTTTATTATTTCCCTTCTACGTGACTTTACCGAAGGAACCAAGAAGATGAATCCCTGCAGTCACGAAAGCTTTAAATCGAAGGTCTTAAGAGTTTAAGCTTTCGTGACTGCAGGAATCCATACTCTTTGGTTCTTTCGGTAAAGTCACGTAGGTATAAAATAAAATAAATCACGACGTTTCGGACGCAACACAATCATCCGTCATCAGGTGTCCGTCATCAGGTGGGATGACGGACGCTTGTGTTGCGCCCGAAACGTCGTGATTTAAATTATTTTATACCTACGTGACTTTACCGACAGAACCAAAGACTATCGGTCTTAAGATGTTCAAACACCAAAATAGAACCCTTTTGCAAGGAATCATGTCTGCATTAACCACACATACTTGTGGCGAACATGCAAACAAACATGCCAGGATTATAACCCTCACTGAACTCCATTGTTTGATTGCAGGCCACGTGCATAGCCACCACCACCCCGGCATTGTTTTAAGTCGTGCTCAGCTGTCTTTGGCTCAGCGCGACATTTTGCACCTTGATGGAGCAACCCCCACGTACACACATGAGCGTGCGTGAGTGTTCGTGTGCGAGATGGACCGAAACATGACTGGAGCTATCGTGCTGAAATTAGGGGCCATCCATTGAGTAGGTACGCAAAAATCTGTCAAAACTTGACCCCTCCCCCCACCCTGTACGCACGCGGACTTTTTACACCCCCCCCCCAACCTGTGTACGTACCATTGACGCACCCCCCCCCCCGCCCCCGATAGAACGGCTGATATTGAATCCACACAGAAACGATCAAGGATTAATAATATTAAGGTGTTTAAGGAAACATAGTCCACCGCCGGACTAACTAATTTGAAGGCCAATGTAGACAAATTATTATCGAGGCTTCACCCCCCCCCCCCTCCGTTTCCTATGCGTACATTGTCAGTAGACCCCCCATACGCAAGCGTACTCATTTGGGTTAACCCCCCCCTCCCCCCTCCATGCGTACGTACTAAATGGATGGCCCCTAAAGGGGCCTCGCTCGTGGTGGTACTGTAATGGGTAGGTGGGCGAGAGCGGTATTGGAACAGGTAGCGTGCGGCGCTACGAACCCGGCGAGTTCGATTCTCACTCACGGCCAACACCAGGGACGATGTCCCCTTATCACGCATGGCTCAGATTCTCCGAGGCACTGCCCTCTAGCTGCCGATTGGCTACTGCGAATTTTGCAGATGGGGCTTCCATCCACACTGTGTGGCAAATTATGCCACAAAAAGTGCTTCACACAGTTGACAGAATCACTTTTGCAGAAGTATGGAGAGAAACTTCACGTGCACACGGCTTGTCATTTTATGGCATTTTCCTCTGTTCCCTGTGGATTTTACACACGATGTTTTCCTGAAGAAGTTCGTTAGCTAAGTACATCACTGTGTGTTTCTTCTTGCTGCGATTTTGAAATGTGCAGCGTGCAATTGCGTTCACAAACGTACGTTGTTTAAAAATACATACATTTATTTTGATACGTGTGCATTATTTAAACAGGCTCCTTGGATACTTATTGCGAGGACGTGCGCCCGCCAGATGCCAAGCGTCACAGTTCAGCGGGTTCAAGCGTGCAATTTTCCTAAGTGTGTCCGGCGAATTTTCTCAATCAAAGAAATACGCTTGCTGGAACAAGTCTAGTTGCGCCGTGTAAACGGGCGAGTAGTCGTAGATTAAATGCCTCTCCTCCTCCTCCTGGCTGGAGAATCGGTGGGCGCTCTTCGTAGCTGAAACAGAATAAGCGACAGAATAAATTCGTAGAACACAACTTGTCCCGGGCGTTCTCCACATTCATTCAACCTTATTGTACATGGACGGATTCAACCTTCAAAAGCAACAGTTATCAACGTTTCATCGATCGAGGTTCAAAAACAAATGTGTAAAAATAAAAAGTTGGCCAAACATTTTGTGGGGCTGCAATTTTTTAAGCCAAAATGCGAAGAAATGTTGGTTGAAGATGTTTGTTTTTTTGTTATCAGTGTAGACTCGGCTATACTGTGCCAAATTTCAGCTTTCTCGTCCCTCACAGAACATCGTTATAATTTACATCAGTCGGTTATGATCATCGTTATGCGTTAGTTTGTCTACAGCCAATGTGTATGCAATGTGACATTAGCTTCGCCCCTTTTTGTCCAAGGGCCATAGTGGAATTTGGTCCCACCTTACGTGGCAAAACATTAGTGACAACGATTTATTAAATTGGACCAAATTAAACCGAATTTTGTGATAACCTACTTATATTTATTGCTCGCATAATTCACCGTTATTGGCCATATAAAGAAATTGCGTTTTGGCAATTCACCCGGCACCAGCGAGTGAAACATCTGCTCAAAGTGAAACGCCTTTCCCCTCTGTCCCCGTGTGGTGGTTCACCCTCGCTGACGAGGAAAGCGGCCATGTGGAAGGCAGCTCTGATGGCCCCGTCACTGTGAACCAGAGCTCGCCGGTTGGCCCACTCGTACGGGTTCATCTCCGGGTGCCATTGCAGAGCGTAGACAGGATAGTGGTAGGCTTGTGGGAGAGACACAAGAAGTCATTGCAAGGCCTATTATGAAGTGGACGGGTGACGTTGTGGTCAGAGCGCTGAGCAGACTACTTCACCAATTCCCGTTTCGAGACGTCTGCAAGTTGCAGGGTGGGTCCTGTTCACCACTGAATATCGGAATTCGCAAGCAGTTCAGCATTAATTTTATTTAGAGAGGCATAGCGCCGTTGATTTTAAAGACATTGTATTCACCGCAGAGAACTGTCGCGACACGAGCGTACTCAATGATAGCTAGCACCAAACTGTGCCACTCTCCCTCCTGCAAAGGCCCTGTGGGTGTCTCGGTACCGATATAGTTATTTTAGTTGAGTTTTTCTTCCGGTTCCTTTCCGATGACGTACATGTATGTGGGAAAGGGTTAATAGGGGATGGAGTAGTGGTACTGTGGTTATCGCACCGCGTTACGAACCTGATGACGCAAGTGTAATTCCCGGCTACAGGATAGTACCAGTGGTGATTTCAGAACCAGTTCCTGAACTATCTCCTGCTTCACCAACGCCCCACTGACCAATATGGTGTGGGCGGGCCTTCGTCCACTGGTGGATTGAGAGTGGTTGGAATTTATCATTGTTTTTCGTTTTAAATGCTCAATAATGTTGAAAATATAAAGTGTCACACACCATGGGACGTTAATTACTTGGTTCAGGAATAATGGGAATGTTATACTGTATTTGTACATGTTCAGAAAAAGCCTCAAAGCGAATCATACATATTTGCTGACCCTGCCCTATAAGTGAAATCAATAAGCTTCCAAGCCATATTTTTTGGGGGCCCAAATTGTAGTTTGTAGATGTGTATCGCTCGATCCATAATCTAGACTATGAGTGCCAAATGTCATCTTTCTAGTCCATATAGATCATTATCCTTTACATCAGTCAATCTCAATTGTCTTTATGTATAACATACGTTTTTAACGGTGCAGTAAAGATTCAAATCAAGTGCTTTTGTATTGTTTTTGTTTACAAACCGAATTGTGTTTTCCACTTTTGCTCTAATTATTCAACCTCAGGTCACCCCTGGAAAAAAAATATTCTTCAATGGACTCTCACACCATTATAAATAAATACCCTCTATGCATCTGCAATCGTCATTCAAACAAGCGCGGTGCTGCGTTGAAGCCCAGGCAGGTCGCGGTGGATTGCGACAATGTGAGTGAGTCTTTACCTTCCATCGTAGAGATAAACTCCACCCCACTGGAGTCGGTGTTTGTCGTCAAAACGCGATAGAATTTTCTCAGCTTGTCGTTTGCTGAAAAGTTCTATTAAAATACAATAAACGTGATAAACATGAATTGGAAGGCTGCTCTAAATGCACCAAGGCTGCAGTGGATGTGTATTTTTAAATGGACACTTTATGTCCGTTTCTGACTTAACACACTGACAGTGAAAAACATATCGCAATTGTACCCATACTGCAGTGGTCATAAAAACCAAAAGGCGCAAAATAAATGCGTGCCTTCCTGCTCAAAGCACATTGGTAGGCTATGATCGTGTACACATCTTCGCGGGAAAATTGATCCTCATGGCGGTACCCTGGGGTACCAAATAATACAAAATGGCCAAGGCAATTAAATATTTTATTTCTGGGACATAATTTTTCCCAGGGGTGTACTTAACTCCGCGACTGGGGTACCAATCAATCCGAAATCAGTGCTACTCCGCGATGTCGAAACGCAGCGAGGACGATTGCGCTGAAACCCTGAACGCTCGTACGCACCGTGGTGGTGCATCGCGTACAGCTCGTCGAGATGAGTCGATTGCCGCCATCAACAGACTAAAAATGACTGCTTCACGGACATTACGCGAGAGCCGGGTTCAATTGTAGATCAAAGCTGAGTCAACTCACCTTGAGGGAGAGGCTCCAGCTGTGCAGGTTGCTAGTGATTGGCTCAGAAGCCAAGGTGTCTAGAATGTCTTTGGGGAAGTTCTGGAAAAGCTTGCTCTGTCTGGATTCTGTACATTGCAGGGAGATGTGATGACAAGTGCGGTGTTAATCCAGCGATAAATTATGCCTGCGGTCATGCGGTGCAACGTAGCGTACATAATCATCAACATTCCACAGAACTCTAAATTATTATTTAGGTCCTTTCCAGAAGGCCCTTCATTGAGGCGCTTGGATGATATTCCGTTTAAAGGAGTAGATTGCATGTGGGAGGAAACCGGAGCACACGGAGAAAAAACCCGCAAAGTGGTGGATGACAACATTGTAAAAGGTCATGAACTACTTGCTAGACTGCCACATTCTGGCCAACTCAAAACCCCGCAGGGTTGGGAGTTGAACAAAATTGCATAATCCAACATCATTTGTATCCAAAGTTCCGGAATACTGGTGCATTCTGCTCGCTGTCATAGCTATACACTCTGAACGTCGTACCTCTGGTGAAGTTGAGGGGCAGCGCAATGTCCTTGGTGTGCGTGAGTGTGAGGAGGTTTTCTCCGCTGGTGAGGAAGGACAGCTCCTCCAAGCCCAAGCACACACCCCACACTGGGAAATAGTCACCGCGCTCGTTCGCCTGCCAGAGAAACAGCGGTGGCCCGCAGTCAAAAAAACATGCACTTGAGGACAATTATAGCGAATATGGGGTGGAGCAAGTTAGCACACTGCTCTCTGGCTCTTGTGACTTGAGTATGTGTGGTATGGTATGTATGTAGAACTTCTTTCGCACCGTACGTAGCCAACAGTTTTAATCGGAAGTGCGGGGGAAGGACAACAAACTAAACACAAAAATCAGTTCTGAAGAAATTAGTTCTAATATCAGAAGGAAGATCGTTCCAGACGGCTGCAGAAGCGCATCTGGCCGTCTTCGTTTTGAAGGTTAGTCAAAAGCCGCTGCGAGGATTTTTAGTTAGCAGCCATAGCTGACATAAGTGGCAAGTGATATCTCAACTATTGCTGGGCACCTTCACCAATATTCGCTGACTAGCGTGGTGAAGCATGATTAAACGACCCCCATATCCGACATCGATGAATGATAGGTTAATTTGGCATCACAGATGGTAAGGAGATGAAACTAGCTTTCAATCGGTGAATATGGCCAGCTGTGATATTGGTAACCAAGGAAAGTTAAAAGCTAAACACACATCAGGGGCATTGTGTTTTTTCATATAAGCGGGCTTGGGAAGGCCACCGCTTAAAGAGATGACGATTGATGGATGAGATCAGTGATGGAACGGATGCTAAAGGAAAGATCACGACCTAGAAGACAACCATCGTCCTGATGAAAGTGATGAGATGAGGTTATGAATGGGATACATTGTGGCATCGTGGGCTGACAGAGTGGGGAGGTCTTCATCCAACAGTGCATAGAGCATGGTTACTGATGATGATGATGATAAATCAGACCAAGATTTATTTCGCTTAACATGCATGACTTTCCAAACTCCAGATTTGTGGCTCCTAATTATCCACATTTTTGTTTCGTAATCCTCTTCATAAACGGTACCTTAATCATACCTTACAACATGTACTCTCCATTGGCAAATAACTAGAACATACAGTACTGTAGTTACATACTGCAGACGAAGATATCCCTGGCGGAAGTATTTTCCTACTCATTATCTCCGACTCCGTATACAACCTGCAGCGCGAGGTCAAACAGAAGCTTGGAGGCTTTGGCGTAAGCCGACTCCTCAATGTCCACATCTCCTCCGGGAAACACAACTCTACAGACGATGTGGGGAACACGGGTACAAGGTCAAAGTTCAACTCAGCTCCATTTTTTTTAAGTCAATGGGATGTCCATTCTTCCACGAGCACATCCCAACCGATCGGGCGCGAGAGCCCTCACGGTGCGGCTGGTTTTCCACTGGCTATTTCGAGACAGAACCAAAACGTGATACACTGGCCTCACAACACCTCTCAAATCTGGTCCAGGGCCAAACAGGGCCAGGGGTGGGGCTAATGACCAATTTATTGTGTGTGACGTCAGTCAAGTGCATCGCGAAGACGCAGACACCGACCGCATCATCTATATGCGGCCTCCGGCTCATTCTTCGCGTGTGACGTCAGTGACACGGGTCTGCTTCTGCAGTGGAAAACAAAACTGGCACCTCCTGTGCCGCGCGGGGCTGGCTCGGCACAGTCCCAGTGGGACACGGTTGTACAGTGGAAGAGTGGCACAGTATAAGCGACCACTGTGCTGAGTGCGATACAGGTCACTGGTGAGCGACCTGTGACTATGACTCACCCATTTAATGAGTTAAAGAGGTCCGTGTATTCACTCTCGGTCAAATTCACCCTGCGCACAAACAAAAAAGATGGAACGGAGCACGATGCATTGACTTCACGGCAAGCTGATGGTGCGTGATTTAGTGAACTGAGTAATGGGTGATCCATATATATGATTAATTGATGGAGGGAATTACGGGGTCTGCGTCGGCAGCCGTGTGCACGTGCGGCTCCACATCACCACTGCAAAGCGCCATCTCCAATTGCAATCCCGTTAACATGGTCGCCCTCTTGATTCTCAGAAGGACAATTACCCAAAAACGCTGCACTCCTGTATATGTATTATCAATAATAATAATGTACACGCACAAACTTGATATCATTCCACTACTGGATAAGAGCCCACCCCATGGCCGGGTGAGTCATCGGGATTAATGCGCCAGACTTTACCACGCTAACCACTGACAGGTTGGTGAAGGCATGGAGTGTAGTTCAGTGCCACAATGGATTTTTCTGTATTGACCTCTGCTGACCGCGTGACCCCTTGCGGCACAAGCCCAATCGTCAGCCGTGGTCAATCCACTGCTGGAGGAAGGCCTCCCTAAGCGGGCCGCTACCTCTCACGATCCAGAGATGCAATAATACTGGTAGGAACCTCCTGGTTACACCAGCCCACAGGGGATTATTGTGTTCGTCGTGCAGGGAGGAGCTGGGTGGGGAGGGTGGGGCTGGGTGGGGGGTGGGAGGGGTGGGGCTGGGTGAGGAAGGCTGGTCCCCCGTGGTGCCCTTATAAAACTCAACGTTTAACCTACTCACGCCGGCTTGTGCCCGCCCTCACGGTCGGGCATATTTGCGGAATACACCACGCCGCCGTTGACCCTGGCCATTGACCGAGCAACCCGACGTTCCTACCGGCTCCCTCCGCAGGAATGTGTTTATCCACACGTGGCACTTGGCCCGATGTCAATCGCTCCACTCCTCGGTGGGGATGATACTGCCCCCCCCCCCCCCCCGCTATGCTGGACGCTTTACACCTGGACCTCGCGCAGGTAGTGAGCTGGGCTAGGAACGTCACCTGATGGGAACAACTCGGGCGCCTCCGGCTTCCACGAACTTGACGTATGACGCGGCGATGTAGGTCCGTCCCAGCTCGCGCAAGTCGCCCACGGTCTCCTGGCTCAGAACCCCTGCAGGAACCGAGGGGGGGGGCGGGGGAATTCGGGGGGGGGGTCCTAAATGTTAAGGCCACTTCGATCTCACTGCATAGAAGAGTAGCTCGAGGCAGCGGTGGACTGATCGCGGATTAATTATAATAATGATGATGTTGTTGTTGTGCATTGCAGATGCTGTGTAGGTTAGGAGCAGTCCTGGACAGGTCTTGCACCTCAACTTGAAACGGGGCATGGAGGCAGGAGAGTGCGTGGAGGGGAGTAGAGTGAGATGAGAGGGGAGAGACAGGAGAGTGCGTGGAGGGGAGTAGAGTGAGATGAGAGGGAGATTCAGGAGAGTGCGTGGAGGGGAGTAGAGTGAGATGAGAGGGGAGAGGTAGAAGAGTGCGTGGAGGGGAGTAGAGTGAGATGAGAGGGGAGAGGTAGGAGAGTGCGTGGAGGGGAGTAGAGTGAGATGAGAGGGGAGAGGTAGGAGAGTGCGTGGAGGCGAGTAGAGTGAGATGAGAGGGGAGAGGTAGGAGAGTGCGTGGAGGGGAGTAGAGTGAGATGAGTGGGGAAAGGTGGGAGAGTGCGTGGGGGGGAGTAGAGTGAGATGAGAGGGGAGAGGCAGGAGAGTGCGTGGAGGGGAGTAGAGTGAGATGAGCGGGGAGAGGTAGGAGAGTGCGTGGAGGGGAGTAGAGTGAGATGAGAGGGGAGAGGTGGGAGAGTGCGTGGGGGGAGTAGAGTGAGATGAGAGGGGAGAGATAGGAGAGTGCGTGGAGGGGAGTAGAGTGAGATGAGAGGGGAGAGGTGGGAGAGTGCGTGGAGGGGAGTAGAGTGAGATGAGAGGGAAGAGGTAGGAGAGTGCGTGGAGGGAAGTAGAGTGAGATGAGAGGGAGAGGCAGGAGAGTGCGTGGAGGGGAGTAGAGTGAGATGAGAGGGGAGAGGTAGGAGAGTGCGTGGAGGGGAGTAGAGTGAGATGAGACGAGAGTGATAGAAGAGTGCGTGGAGGGGAGTAGAGTGAGATGAGAGGGAGAGGCAGGAGAGTGCGTGGAGGGGAGTAGAGTGAGATGAGAGGGGAGAGGCAGGAGAGTGCGTGGAGGGGAGTAGAGTGAGATGAGAGGGGAGAGGTAGGAGAGTGCGTGGAGGGGAGTAGAGTGAGATGAGAGGGGAGAGGTAGGAGAGTGCGTGGAGGGGAGTAGAGTGAGATTAGAGGGGAGAGGCAGGAGAGTGCGTGGAGGGGAGTAGAGTGAGATGAGAGGGGAGAGGAAGGAGAGTGCGTGGAGGGGAGTAGAGTGAGATGAGAGGGGAGAGGCAGGAGAGTGCGTGGAGGGGAGTAGAGTGAAATGAGAGGGGAGAGGTGGGAGAGTGCGTGGATGGGAGTAGAGTGAGATGAGAGGGGAGAGGTAGGAGAGTGCGTGGAGGGGAGTAGAGTGAGATGAGAGGGGAGAGGTAGGAGAGTGTGTGGAGGGGAGTAGAGTGAGATGAGAGGGGAGAGGCAGGAGAGTGCGTGGAGGGGAGTAGAGTGAGATGAGAGGGGAGAGGTAGGAGAGTGCGTGGAGGGGAGTAGAGTGAGATGAGAGGGGAGAGGTAGGAGAGTGCGTGGAGTGGAGTAGAGTGAGATGAGAGGGGAGAGGCAGGAGAGTGCGTGGAGGGGAGTAGAGTGAGATGAGAGGGGAGAGGAAGGAGAGTGCATGGAGGGGAGTAGAGTGAGGTGAGAGGGGAGAGGTAGGAGAGTGCGTGGAGTGAAGTGGAGTAAAGTGAGATGACAGGGGAGAGGTAGGAGAGTGCATGGAGGGGAGTAGAGTGAGATGAGAGGGGAGAGGCAGGAGAGTGCGTGGAGTGAAGTGGAGTAAAGTGAGATGACAGGGGAGAGGTAGGAGAGTGCATGGAGGGGAGTAGAGTGAGATGAGAGGGGAGAGGCAGGAGAGTGCGTGGAGGGGAGTAGAGTGAGATGAGAGGGGAGAGGTAGGAGAGTGCGTGGAGGGGAGTAGAGTGAGATGAGTGGGGAGAGGTAGGAGAGTGCGTGGAGGGGAGTAGAGTGAGATGAGAGGGGAGAGGTAGGAGAGTGCGTGGAGGGGAGTAGAGTGAAATGAGTGGGAAGAGGCAGGAGAGTGCGTGGAGGGGAGTAGAGTGAGATGAGAGGGGAGAGGTAGGAGAGTGCGTGGAGGGGAGTAGAGTGAGATGAGTGGGGAGAGGCAGGAGAGTGCGTGGAGGGGAGTAGAGTGAGATGAGAGGGGAGAGGCAGGAGAGTGCGTGGAGGGGAGTAGAGTGAGATGAGAGGGGAGAGGAAGGAGAGTGCATGGAAGGGAGTAGAGTGAAATGAGAGGGGAGAGGTGGGAGAGTGCGTGGAGGGGAGTAGAGTGAGATGAGTGGGAAGAGGCAGGAGAGTGCGTGGAGGGGAGTAGAGTGAGATGACAGGGGAGAGGTGGGAGAGTGCGTGGAGGGGAGTAGAGTGAGATGACAGGGGAGAGGTAGGAGAGTGCGTGGAGTGAAGTGGAGTAAAGTGAGATGACAGGGGAGAGGTAGGAGAGTGCATGGAGGGGAGTAGAGTGAGATGAGAGGGGAGAGGCAGGAGAGTGCGTGGAGGGGAGTAGAGTGAGATGAGAGGGGAGAGGTAGGAGAGTGCGTGGAGGGGAGTAGAGTGAGATGAGTGGGGAGAGGTAGGAGAGTGCGTGGAGGGGAGTAGAGTGAGATGAGAGGGGAGAGGTAGGAGAGTGCGTGGAGGGGAGTAGAGTGAGATGAGTGGGAAGAGGCAGGAGAGTGCGTGGAGGGGAGTAGAGTGAGATGAGAGGGGAGAGGAAGGAGAGTGCGTGGAGGGGAGTAGAGTGAGATGAGAGGGGAGAGGTAGGAGAGTGCGTGGAGGGGAGTAGAGTGAGATGAGTGGGGAGAGGCAGGAGAGTGCGTGGAGGGGAGTAGAGTGAGATGAGAGGGGAGAGGCAGGAGAGTGCGTGGAGGGGAGTAGAGTGAGATGAGAGGGGAGAGGAAGGAGAGTGCGTAGAAGGGAGTAGAGTGAGATGAGAGAGGAGAGGTAGGAGAGTGCGTGGAGGGGAGGAGAGTGAGATGAGAGAGGAGAGTGCGTGGAGGGGAGTAGAGTGAGATGAGAGAGGAGAGGAGGGAGGAGGGAGTAGCCCTCTCACCGATGATAGGCCTGTGGTTTGTAATCTTCACCGGGGCTTGACAGCTGCGCGAAGCAAAGCAACAGCAAAGCCAAAGAGGGAACCAGAGCCGAGACGGCACCGAAACCGCCATCTGACACAACTCGCAGACACTTGCCCTATGAAATGTGTTTAGCTACAGTGAGACACAGCCACAACGACCACTGTAGTGAGCTGGCTTCAATGCCGACAGTCCTGTAGACTGCTCTTCCGTCTGGCGCTAAAACCCGGACACAAAGTCGAGGCTTTTCCAGCTGCGAGGTTTCGTTTTTTTTAAGCTGACGGGTGAGTGTAGCGACCTCTAGTGGCTGCTGCTGCTGTTGCCGCTCTACTCCTGCGGTCATGGGAAAGAATTACAACTTGGGCTGAACGGTTTGGGGATAATATCTAATTGCGATTTTTCTGACAGATATTGCGATAGCGATTTGATTTGCGATAAAAAATGTAAAGTCAAGCTTCAGTTCAATATTCACTTGGTAATAGATTTAAAACATGTGATGGAGCATTACCACATGATACCATTAAAATATGAAAGGATGATAACTTAAAAGATATGAATTGCTTCCAACGTGTATTTATTAAAATGTTTTAATTGAAATGGAACAATCAAACATAGAACAATAGTTAAGTTAAATAAATAAAGTGACGTTTTAAAAAATCCAAGAAAAAAGTAATAGGACTTTTCAAATCGCAGCCTTTGCGATTTAGTAATCGCATTGTTTCAAATTTCGATTTGAAATCGATTAATCGTTAAGCCCTAGTTACAACACACAAATGGAAAAATCGCGATTCTATGGAAGTAATCGCACGTGTCAACCCATACGGTTTACCCGCATTCTTGTACAGGGAAATTGAGTTTTCAGGTCCATACGGCATACAGCCGTTTCATTACGGCCAAAACTAATATTTTGTTTATTTGTTTATTTTTCTCACATGGTGTTGGACCAGATGACGCCAAAAGGCGCACAACTCAAAGACATCTGGTCCAACACCATGTGAGACTAGGCTCTAAGAAAAGCTGTCTCGGGTGTGGACCAATCAATTTCAAGGACAGTGCATACATTATCAGAGTTGTGTTCTTTGTTTGCATTCCGACCGCAGGTATTGTGGTCAATGTAAACATGACTCCTTGTAAAAAAAAACGTGTCCGTTTTGTTGCCAGATAAAAGGGTAAAAAACAATTATCACATTTCAACATACATACTGTGAAGCACACAAATGTTGTGAAATTCCCTTCCCGTGCATATCGTGCTGTCCTTCCCTGGCCCGCCAGGAGAGGGCAGTACAGCAAGTGGACTAATCTCCATTTTTTTCCATCTGTACGGGGATAGAGTGACTCAACGTGGTTTCCCTGGATAAATACGTTATTATTAAAGTTAAATAAACCTGCCAATTATGAATGTATTTCGCTCCACGTGCTGGGAGCTTCTTCAGCAACCGAAATTGAGAACTGCGTAGAATATCGCAGTTCCTCAATACTGTAAGCTCCCCGCATAGTGGAGCAAAACGTCGGACATGAATCGTTTTTATTTGGCAATGAGAATTGTGTGCTTGCATTCGTGTTTGTTCTGCTTTTGCCCTGAGATCCACAACAACACTGTACAGGCACGTCTTGCTTACAAGATACGTTCAACGAACATTTATCATTAAGTGAATAATCGTTAAACTACCGTCGTTTCCCCAATGACTCCCACGTTAAAAGCTGCGTGACGTTTCAGCCCCAAAATATTCCACTCTCGAAAATTTTTTTTTAACGTGAGAAATACAATGAATAGTTTTAATACAAAGAAATAAAATATCAAATGTAACACTACATATGGAGAACCGCAGTGCTTGCCCCCCCCCCCCCTTCCTACCCATTGCAGTGCCACCACGAGACCCCGTTCCCCTTCACGGCAAATCCCACGCGCTCACGCAGCGCAGCGCAGTACAGCGGCAAACAAACAGCTGCAGGCCGTAGTGCGCCCCCTGCCGCCACTGAACACATTCGATCAATCGGTCCTCCGCTCGTTATGCGAACATATTTGCTTGTTTTGCGAACAAATTGGTCCAAAATACAGGGGCTTTTTTGGGTTAGATCGCGTAAATATAAATGTGTCGTTAAACCCGCCACCAACCGACAAAGCCAATTAGTAAGATTTGTCACCTAAACAGAACATGCCAATTCGTTACTAGCGTAGTGTAATAGCGCTGGCTGCTGTCCAGCAGCGGCAACTGCGGTGGACAAACAGTACACACGCCGGTGAGCATATACACGGGTGTGTCGGCAGGGCGGAGGAACTGGGGCAAGGGTCATGGAAGACCCCATCTGGAAGCTCCTGGAACCTGCTAGTGGGTTCGAGAAGGGAGGCGTGCCCAGGGCGGAGCCAGGCCACGCTGGGTAGCATAAAAGGAGCTGAGAGCGGGAGCTCAGGGCTGCCGGTTCTGGGAGTGGACTCGTCTCGTCGTCGCTGCCGTCATCACAAGATACTGCGCGGCCGGATAGTTGTTGGCTGTCTCCGTCAGCACCATTAGGGTTTCATGGTCAGGGTTGTGTTTAGGCTAGGCAAGACGACTAGGGAGAGCGTGAGGGCGAACCTGCAAAGTGTGAAGGTGTTCAAAAAGAAGGTGCCTCCTGCAAACTCTTGTCTCCGAAACGCTGGCACTTCACTAGTACAGCACACTGGTGTGTTGGAGAGCAAAGCCACACCATTAATCATCTGAGTATGACGTTTCGCTAGTAATTACAAATGGCCATTACAACTAGCTTTCTAATTGGCTGTGTCGGGTGGTGGCGGATTTAACTACACATTGAAATATTTACGCGATCTAACCCAATAAAACCTCTATTATGGATTACATTGGTCGCGAAAGCCTACCACGTGTTAACCAAATTGGTCCAAATTCAAATTGCTCATTGCGGTGAATTCTCGTGGAAAGTAGGTTCGTGAAGCTAGGCACGACTGTATTTGGCAATCCACGCGTGGATCGTGGTCCACGTATCGGTCACCACCGATGCAAACCAGCTTCCTGGAACAACCCCGTTTAGATTTGTTCTCGTTGTTGCACACTTCAGCAGTGGTGAGCAATTGCAAAATGTTACAGGTGTCCTCTCTCCTGTGTTGTGTGTGAAATAATTATTCTTGCAGTACTTCTGTAGCCTCAAGGCCAACTGGTATGGCGCGTTGAGATCTACGGATGAAATACACCTTCCAAATGTAATTATTAGTAGATTAGTAGTAGTAGTACACATGTATACCTAGAGCCAGCACCTGCATAAAAGTTCATTTCAATTACACCCTTCACATGGCCAACACATGTGCCCTCATGCGTGTGATATTTGCTCATGTTACATACGATTGACCTGTGTACTTCATTATTCTCACGAGAACATGTTAATCGTTTTCCGAGTCACAAAGAGGGCCCCCATGGGCATCGGTGTGAGTGAATACATGATGATGTTTCCCCCCTCCCCCCCCCCCGTATTTCAAGTGACGGGTAACAACAACAACAACAACATCATCGTTGAGATTATAATAATAGAGTTTTCCCCCTTTTTTCTGGCAACAAAACTGAAACCTTTTTACGAGGATTCATGTCTGCAATAACCACAATACTTGCAGTCAAATGCAAACAAAAAACACACTATGATAATATATGCATTGTCCTTGAAACTGATTGGTCCACACCAAGGGACGTTGAGATTGTTTTTCTTTAGCAGCTGCAGCAGCCACAAACGTCACACCTTCCAGCGCGCTTCAAGACCTGGCTTCTGGCTTCACCCGCGTGATTTGCAGCTCCGAGTGAGTCAGCGTGGATTGTTGTCTTGTAACTGTTCAGAAGAGCGAGTGGCCTGGCGTGTTGCGCGCTGCGGAGAGACGCTGTTTAGGAATGTCTTAGAACCCCCCCCCCCCCTCTGGCAAAGCGTGCAGGCCAGATGTGGCAGCTTTGCCCCCGGGGAGGACCTCACTGTCACGATGGATTGGGGGGCTTGGGGAGGGGGAGCCTCGTTGAACTTGCGCTGTCAGTCGGGATTCATCGTCACGTTCACAAAGCCCCAGCTTGAGGCTTGTTTTCTTGTTGTTTTGTTTTTACACATTTTTTTAAACGTTTTTTGTCGATTCGGTTCGGTGTTAGCTGTTTAAAGTTAAAGACTCGTTTGTTTGTTTGTTAGTATGCGATTTTTTTTGGACTCGTGGAGGGGAAAGTGATTGTATTTGGCGAGATGATGTTCTGAACAAAATTGGACTGATAATGGCCATTTTCTTTGCGTCTTTAGAATAAGGTAGTGAATCCAGTTTTTTCTGCATATTTTGTAGGCTTACTTTTAGTCTTTATAAAATCATCAAAAGCCATGACTGCTTGATGAAGACATTCCCAAGTGGTTGCCATGCATCGCGCTTCTCATGATTCAACATATCCAACTCCTGCTTCGAAGCAGTTCTAAAGAAATAGATAAAAAAAAACTAATTTCTTTAGAACTGCCTTTTGTGTTTCGCTTGTCGCCCTTCCCCGCACCTCCGATTAGCACGGTGGGCTACGTACGGTGCGAAAGAGGTTCGACATACACACACCTGATCACTTCATCTCTGAGGCGGTTCATCCTCTCACGCGTGACCCTAGCCTCCGTTGGTTGATAATCCATCATCGGTCTCGTCCATCAACCATCTCGTACCCCTGGGGCGACGTGCCCTAACCAAGCCCACTCTCTCTCAACAGTAAATATGATTCCGCTTCACATTGGCTCCCTGGTCCACGGAGGGGCACGGCTGAGTACAATTCTCAGTGTTGCCCCTCTGTTTTCTTTGTCAATGTCATGTCTCTGATCCGTGTGTCATAGAAGGTAATGCCACAGTGATTGAGCTCTTTATCCGTTAGACACGTTGGTTATTCGCCTTCATTGTCGAGATCAGTTTTCAAGCAGCACTCCCAATCTGCTGTCGCATTCCAGTTGCTTTCAACATTTTGTTTCTTCAATGATAGCCCCTTGTTAAACGTAATGTGATATGTGCTTATGTTGCGTTCCCCTTCAACAAACGTCTTCATTTGTTTGAACGGACTTGCTGCGTTTACAGACAATTAAAATATTATCTGCAAACGTATATTTTAATTGCCCTATGTTTTAAACTAATTAAAATATTGCGTGCGCTCGGACAACAAGCCATAAATATGTGAAAGTCGACCAAATGTACGAAGAAATTCACCAGCTTGAATGCAATGGTGAAACACATCACACTATCGTAAGGGGTGATGATTGCTGGAGTAGATAACAGGAGCAGAG